TTATTATTATTATTATTATTATTATTATTATTATTATTATTATTATTGGCTTATGGCATTGCTACATTAGCCAGGAGATCCCCATGCTATTGTGGCGAGGTAGTTTGGCTGCCAAGGTACCAGCTCTGTTGTTGGAAATGCTTGCACGCTTACCAAGGTATGCCACAGTTGACTGAGTCAGCTCCAGAAAGAAAGATGAACCGCTCTTCCAGCAGGGTCATCCAAGTCCCTCTCCCTCCCCAGAGCCACCTTGCAAACGGGCGCCGCAGTCAGGAAGGTTCAGAGCCGGCAGGAATCTGACTGCCTTCACAGAGCATCCGCTCGTCTCTCCACCGAAGTGCACCTATTTATCTACTCACATAGAATATGCTTTTGAATGAGTGGTGCAGTGGCCTAGAGGTGGAGCTCTCGCCTCACAATTTGGAGGCTGTGAGTTCGATCCTAGGTGGTGGTAGACAATTCTCTCTCTCTGGGCGCAATGAGTAAATATCAGCTGTGAACTCTGTGTTGGCAACAGGAAGGGCACTGGGCCAGTAAACACTCAGCTCCATTCAGTTGTCCTGACTCCATCCCGCTGCAAGAGATCACGGGGTTGTTAAAGGGCAAAAATAAAGAATAGAATATGCTTTTGAATGGTTAGGTGGACAGAAGTTGAGTGACAGGAACTCGTCCCACCATGCAGTGCTAGGACTCGAACCACTGGAGCAGAGACCATCTCCAGCATCATTAAGCCACTGAGCCACCACACCTCTTACCTTGTTATAACAATGTATAAAAGAAGCAAGAACACCTTTCAAACAAGTTAATAAAACCCCTCTGTGACTTTCTGGGTCCCAGCTGTTCATTTAAATTTTGCTGCAGAGGTCTGCTCTCACTCCTATATCTTAAGAAAATCATTAACTTCTGTTTTACAGATTGTTTTTCTTTTAAAATCCCAGTGGCTTTAATATAAAGGGATATTCTTGTTATTTGTTTCTGGTTTGGAATGTAAGTTTCACTCAGACTGCTGAGTCCCAAAACCGATTTATCTCTCTTAATGAAGTGTAGAAGCTTCCTGTTGGTTTCTCAGGAATTAAGATGCAAAACGTGTTCATTTTCCTTTGTTTTTCACATTCTGTCTTTTCTTTTCTTTTTTTTTTTTTCATTCAGTTTTTTTGACTGTGAACGGCTTTGCGATGCTGATCCTTGCTGCTCGGGTTTTGGACTTCTAAATGCTTCCCAAGACATAGGTATTTTTTTTTAGTCATTCATTACAAGCCCCGTAGATTTTTTTTTAATCTTTTCCCTTAGGGAATCTGGAACCTATTTCATTGTGGTTTGCAGTGTTTAACAAACTCCTGTGTGCTTGTTTGAGCCATGTACCCTGTAATGTTTCTGGATAAGGGAGGAAGTGGGGAAAGTGGATTTATTTTTCTAAGAACCTGCAGCCAAAAATCAGGCACTCCAGAAGCTTCAACGGAAAGGGCTTGTTCTATAGCCAACAACTCACAGCCTACTTTGCTGCTTCTGTTGCTGGTTAATTTATGTTCTTTAGAAAAGGTGAGCAGAAGACAAAGGAGCAGGCTATTTCTTTCTGGTCAGCACTGCACTTTGGACATGAACAGAGAACAAATATATAACATGCAGTGGCTAGGTGGACATGGCCACGTGACTGGGTGGGTGTGGCTTCTTCTTTTTTGTGTGTGCAGCACCTTCCTCGCCACGCTCTGTTTTTTGGCCTCCTGGGCCTCAGGGAAGCCTCCTGAGGGGTGTTTTTGCTCCCAGGAGGCTTCCCCGAGACTCAGGAAGGCAAAAAATGGAGTGCGGCGGGCTGTGCAGCACCCCTCCATGTGCCCATTTTTGCCTCCTGGGCCTCACGGAAGCCTCCTGGGCAAAGCATTAAGACAGTGAGGGGGATCCTGACATTGTTGGAACAGCTGATCGTTAGGAGGAGGAAAAAAAGAAATACCGGTTCGGTTGAACCGGTAGCTATTTTTTTTACTACCAGTTCATCTGAACTGGGCCAAACCGGTAGAATCCCACCATTGATTCAAAGTTACCCCAATCCTAACTTGTACTCTCACCACAAGCCCCACCTCCTTAATATTTACAAATAACTGAGTTGCTGAGATTCTTTTGGGATTCCAGGTTTCCCTGTATGATGTATTATTCACCTTGTCCAGCTAAATACAGGTAGTTCTCAATTTACAACAGTTCATTTAGTGACCATTCAAAGTTACCATGGCACTGAAAAAACAGTAACTTGTGACCATTTTTCATACTTATGACCACTGTAGCTGTGGGAAGCTCCTAGAAGAATGAAATATTTTGAGGACTATTCAAAAGGCAGAATATTATATTTCCCTGGATGAGAAATGAGAAACATGTTTTTTTAGAGGGAGAAAGCAGCCCCCACCTTTTCTTAACAGCCCACAGCAGATGTCAGCACTTAAGAGATAAAGATATAGATAGCTCTATTCATAAGCAAATACCCTCACTCAAGTTCCAAACCAGGACAAAACCATTAAGCCATAATAGGAATTTTCCAACACCTTTTGAGAACACAAGCCTCTTTATTATATCATCTCAGAAAATCCAAACTTCAGCCAAACTTAGCCCAGACAACCTATAGAGCCAGTTACATGGCCCATGGGAGTCTGACAACAACCAATAGAATACATGTTCTTGCACAGGAACAGGAAGCTCAAGTTCAAAGCCCAAGAGAAAGTATAAAAGCCACCCACTCTCAACTCCATGTGGTCAGCTGCCCAGAACCCATGTTGTTCTGCTTCTCCATAAAACCATCTTTCCAATCAGCCTCCATGTTTCTGGTGTCTTTCTCCTGGCTTAGAACTGAACCAGATGGATATTTCTTCCAGCAGAGCTTCCCCATGGTCACATGATCAAAATTTGGCAACTGGCTCATATTTAGGATGGTTGCAAAGTCCTGGGATCATGTAATTCCCCTTTTGTGATCTTTTGACAAGCAAAGTCAATAGGAAAGCCAGATTCATTTAACAACCATGTTAATAACTTAACAATTGCACTGATTCACTTAACAACTGTGGCAGGGTTGTAAAATGGGGCAAAACTCACTTTTAGCTACTTGATCTCGCTTAGTCGCAGAAATGTTGGACTCAATTTTGGTCATAAGTCAAGGATTACCTGTATGCATTTGTGAAACTGGCCATAAGGAAGTCAGATGTAGGTAGGATTGACAAAGAGTCATTGAGATTCATGGATTATGTGCTATCAAGTCATTTTCAAGTCCCAGGAGAATTGATCATATTATCATATATGGTGGACTTGAAGGAAAGCCCAGGATTTTGGACATAAAATTCAGAGTTGGTTAGAAGAAATGGGTGAGATTAAACTTGAATATAGACTGGAATTCTTTCTGCTGGGAATTAATACAGAGAGATACAATAAGGAACTAATGTATCTAATAACACACGTGCTCATGGCAGCAAGATTATGCTCAAAAGTGGAAATTTAATGAAACTGAGATAATTAAAAAGATGCGTCGAAATGGATAAACTAACGTTGGAATTAAAAAATAAGGATGAGGCTGAATATTATAAAGTATGGGATAAATTTTACCAATGGTTGGTTTGCCTCTATATGGTTTGCCAATTGCACAGGGGCAGATAGGACAGCACTCCAGAGGGTTAACATCATTGCCCAGAAGATCTTTGGTTGCCCTCTCCCCTCTTTGGAAGAGCTTTATAGCTCCCGCTGCCTTAAGAAAGTTTAAAACATTCTCAAAGGTCCATCTCACCCTGGGAACCCTTTTTTTGAACTATTACCATCTGGCAGACGGTACAGAATAATAACAACAAGGGCAAATAGGCTGAAAAACAGCTTCTATCCCAGGGCAGTAGCTCTGCTGAATTCTACTGTATAGTGCAGTGTTGGTGTGGTGTTGGGAGTTTTTGGTTTAATATGTGGAGGGTGAAGGATGTGTATTTGTGTTTATTTTCATGGTCATGATGTGCACTAAAGATGGTGTTTGATTTTGTTGCACAAGGTGCATTGACAATAAAGTTAAACTAAACTAAACTAAACTAAGCTAAGCTAAACTAAGCTAAACTAAGTTAAACTAAGCTAAGCTAAACTAAACTAAACTAAACTAAACAAAAAAAGGAAGACTTAAAATTAAAATAAGATAAGGATGTTAAGATAGTAGATTAAGAATATGGAAAATTGTTGTAATGTATAAATTTATATATAATGTAAATTTGTATTATATGCTAACCATAACAGATAGGTACGACAAATAGGTGTGTCAGGATGATTACACCACATTCACTGTTTTTAATGTTTTTGTTTAATAAAAAATTATTTAAAAAATTTATTTTTAAAAAAGTCATTTTCAAGTCCCATCAACTGCATTCAGATAATCCTCTACTTATGACTGGCCTGCAGTTATGATGGACCACTCCCCAAAGATACTTATGACCCCGTTCTGGACTTCCAATGGCTGCTTTTCCATAGTCACATAACTGTCCATCAGGCTCTTCTCAACCAGCCTGTATATATGGTCAACTGTAGCATCGTGCAGTTACATGATTCGGTTTTACGACAGTTTTGCTAAAACATGTTGATTGTTCCAAATGTTTTGCCATTTTTTTGTGACAGCCAGGTCACACAGCTAATTTTATGACAGGCAAACCACCCTATCAACTCGAATGTTTTTATTTCTTCAGTGTGGATGGATTATTTAAAAATGCCAAGTGCCAACAGAAACTTATAGAAAAACAATGACAACCTACCACGGTTTTCTCATTTCAGACAGCAAGATCTTGTGTTTGACTCTGGGCAGTTTGGGAATTCAAACCTGCAGTGAGGAATTAAGAAGTGATTGGCAAATTTCTCCTTGTATGTCTCTGGAAACTGAGGCCAGGGTGCATCCCTTCGGCTGGTATCAGAAATCCTGTGAGTACCAAATCTTTCCTTGATTGGTTTCCATCCATTGTTTCTTGTCCTGTCCTCTGCTGCTTTGAAAAATAAGTTGACCCCCTCCTCTTTGTGGCAACTCCTGAAATACTGGAATATTTCCCGCAACAATCTGATGCTTGATTTTACCAGCCTCAGAAGGATGGAAGGCTGGGTCAAATTTGAGCCCATCAGGATCAAACTCCAGGCTTTGGGCAGAGTTAGCCTGCAATACTTCATTCTAACCACTGCATCCCCCAGGGCTTTATTTATTCTTGCTGCCTTCCTTTGTTATTGTTTGTTTTATTGCTCTATTATTTTACTTCTGTTTTGTTTACACTCCTGTCATTTTTCTTCCTTTTTATTGTTGTAAGCTACCTACAATAGCCCCAGGGCAATGTAAAGGGCAAATGAATTTAACAAAAAATAATACCATACCATACCATACCATACCATACCATACCATACCATACCATACCATACAATACTGTGATGACTCGGAGTATAACATAAACGTAAAAAAATCCAAAATGTAAATAGATGTCCTTTAATGCCTCCATCTTGGCCCCACTGTTCAATAATTCTCAGTTGGAGATAAGACTTACTCAGAAATAGTCTTTAAAAGAAAGCAATACATTCTGAAATTAATGAGAAGATAGAGGTGAAATAAAAAACCAAATAAACCACAATGAAGAAATTTCCACAACCGACCAGGATAAGTAATTACCAAATTCAAGGAGATAACAAGGCACAGTCTGTTGGAAGGACGCCAACCAAGATAACTTCAGCCCAAAATAAAACACGCTTTGCTTCTGGCAATGCTGTGTTGTAACCGTCTCTCTTATATACTATTCTTCCCAGCTGCAACTAATGAGGGGGATCATGGCAGCTTACTCTCGTAAGCCAAGTTGTTTCCTGCTCCGTTCATCCCTGCATGTCTTAGGATGCAGAGGGGATGGGCCTGGTTTTTCCTCTGACTGCCCAGCCAGCCTCTGCCCTTCCCCAGCCTCCTCCACAACCTCTGGAGCCACACCTCCACTCCCTGTCGGCTGTTCCTCCTCTCCCTCAGAGTCCGACTCTACCAAGGGCATGATACTATACTATACTATACTATACTATACTATACTATACTATACTATACTATACTATACTATACTAAATAACCATGTTGGATTGAAACTGAGAAGATATTCCATGTACATGGACATGTTTGTGTCCATTCATCATCTTCTATCAGGGTTTCTCAGTGGTGGATTTCCACATTTTTTCCTACTGGTTCTATGAGATGCATGCAGGGTTCAAAAACCTCCCTCTGTGTGTCAGTGCTGGTGAGCTGACCTGGGTTTTCTTTTGGCTCAGCTGAGGCATGGCTATCCACTCTGCCATGCGAATCAGCTGCGCTAAAAACCAAGGGAATATAGGAGAAATAATAGTGGGGGCAGGTAGGCAGGGCCAGTCAGAGGTGGTATTTGCTGCTTCTCCGAACTACTCAAAATTTCCGCTACCGGTTCATCAGAACTGGTCTGAACTGGCTGAATACCACTTCAGGGTCTCTCCATGCATAGATCTCTTCCAACTGCTAGCTGAAGAGTATAGAGAAGATGGATCCAGAGGTGGTATTCATCAGGTTCTGACCAGTTCTGGAGAACCAGTAGTGGAAATTTTGAGTAGTTTGGAGAACCGGCAAATCCCACCTCTGACTGGCTCTGCCCCCATCTATTCTCTGCCTCCCATTGAGTCCCAGCTGATCAGCTGGCTCTTCTTTTGTTGCCCTGCACAGGAGAATAGAGCTGGAAAGCAGGTTAGTGGGGTGGGGAGGGAATGGGGATTTCACAGTATCCTTCCCCTGCCACGCCCACAAAATCATGCCCACCAAGCCATGCCACGCCCACAGAACCGGTAGTAAACATTTTTGAACCCCACCACTGGATGGAGCCGCTGTTGGCTCAGCTGTTAAAGACATGGAAAGTGACAGCTTGGGTTAGAGACCCAAGTGACACACAATGGGGTGAGTGCCTGCTCTTGCCTCAGCTCCAGTCACCTAGCAGTTTGAAAGCATGCAAATGTGAGTAGAAAAATAGGTACCCCTTCAGTAGGGAGGTAACAGCCTTCTGTGAGCTTCGATGTGTAGTCCTGCTGACCAGATGACCATGGAAGTGTCTTTAGACAATACTAACTCTCTCAGCTATGAAACAGCAATGAGCACTGGCCCTTGAGTTGGATAAGACTGGACAGGGAAACGTTACAGAGGAGATGTCAGAAATTTACAATCCAGCCCTCATTAGACATTTGCCAAAAAACACTTGCCAAAGTTTTAGAATTCAAGGCAATCTTTTATTTTCAGTAATGAAAGCCACATATTCTTAGTTATCCTGCCTGGAAAATCCTTCACATCTTTCCCACATGCTTCCTCGCTTTAAGACCTAAAAACGAAACAAAACAGGAGGAATAAAATAGCCAAAATAGGTAGATGGTCTGGATGTAAGATATATTCCTTCAAGATGTTCCATCTCTCCTGCAATGGGTGTTTTGAACAGATTGCCAGATGTGATTCTGGACAGATTGCCATTTTTGATGGCACTTAAGCCAAAAAAATCTGAATTACACTTCAATATAGCACATGTTCTTATATAGCTGCATAATATGCACATATGTGTATCCCAAACTTCTCTTTTTAAGGGTATTAGGAAATCTATGAGGTTTTCTTATTTTAAAAAATTGCACTAGAAAATCTAATCCAGTTTAATAGCAGGTCAGTTTCTGCTTGAGTCTGCGGGAAAGTATTCCATACCGCGCTGTGTGCATACGCAACTGATTATTTAAGCAGAGACAGTAAATACTTACAGTCCCAAAAGGCAGAGGCAATCTGGAACGTAAAGAAGTTTTAAATTTTGCAGCTGAACTCTGCTGAACTCTTGCTCAGGGAGTGCAAATTCAGCCTGCAGATGCTTTTATCCACAGGCATCAGTATTTTAATCAAAATAATGTTTATAGTTCCTTCGTTTTCTTGCGAACCGATAAGCTGTATTGAACAATAAGACTTGGTTTGGCTTAAGTAGCAAGCTATTATCAAATCCTGTCTGCAAGGGATAGAGTCATTCTGAACGCTCAAGGGGTAGAGTCTCTGCTAAAGCAAGAGAAATCATTCTACGGGTAGTCCTTGACTTACAAGCACAACTCAGGCCCAACATTTATGTGGCTAAGTGAGACATTTGTTAAGCGAGCTTTGGTCTGTTTTATGATCTTTCTTGCCGCTGTTTGTTAAGTCGATAAGTTAGTAACATGGTTGTTAAGCAGTGGTGGGATTCAAATATTTTTGCCACCGGTTCGGTGGGTGTGGCTTGGTGGGCGTACTTTGCATGCGGGCGCACGCTTTGCGTGTACGCCCACACAAAACACGCACTTTACGCAGGCACAGAGGCATTCTAACTCACCTCCTGCAAGCCTGCACGATTCCAGTTGCTTCAGCAGCTGCCGCGCGGCGCTGTAGTGCGCCGTGCAAAGCAGCTGCGCTTCAAATTCAGTGGATAAAGGTGAGTATGGGAGCCCAGGTGGGCTCAACAACGGAGTGGAGGAAAGAACTGATTTGGTCTTCGCTGCTCATCGCTGTTACCGGCTCGGCAGAACCGGGCCGAACCGGTAGAATATCACCACTGTTGTTAAAAATCTGGCTTCCTCATTGATTTTCGCTTGTCAGACGGTGGCAAAAAGTAATCACCTGACTCCAGAACCATCCTAAATATGAGTCAGTGGCTACACATCTGAATTTTGATCATGTGGCTGGCCATGGAGATGCTGCAACATTTGTGTGAATAAATTGGTCATAAGTCACTATGTTCAGCGCCGTTGTGACTTTGAATGGTCACTAAACAAGCTGCTGTAAGCCGAGGACTACCTGTATTGTAGAAAGTGTAGGTGTAGGGAAGGTGTAGATGTAAGGCTAGTAGGATAGGAGGAAGATCCACTAGATAAGAGAGATTTGAGCCCGGGCCAAGAAAGTAACTAGAGAAAATCTCTCAGACAAGTCCCTCCCTAATTCACACCATCATCATCATCATCTTTTAACGACCCCATAATCCCTTGTGGGGTGGAGTCTGGGCAACTGAATGGAGATAGCAGAGTGTTTACTGGCCGGATGCTCTTCCTGTCACCAATGTGGAGTTTTGTTGAGCAGATATATTGTCATTGTGCCCAGAGAGAGAAATATCTGCCTCTACCTAGGATCGAACTCACAGTCTCCTGATTGTGAGGCAAGAGTGCCATCTCTAGGCCACCGCACCACTCCTCCTCCTCCCCTAATTCACAGGAAAGAAGGAGAGTGGGGCATTCAGACTGGCAAGGTTTTGTTTCTATGAGTAGTTACAGTAAAAGTAGCTCTCAACTACATGGAATTGGTTTCTTAGTCCGGTCTACCTCAAAGGGCTGATAGATATAGGACTGGTTTCCAGTCTGTAGGTCAGCTTTGTATAGGCTGATCTACTGCAAATGTACACAAACTGCAGCAGATAACTAGATGGGACATTAGATACAGCCTGTTGACTCCAGCAAAATGGAGATATTGATGAAGTCTTGGATTACTGAGCTTTATTATTTATTTTATTTATTAAACAAATCGATAGAGCCGCCCAACTCACACACAGGTGATGCTGGGCAGATGACAACATTAGAAACCCACAATATAACAATCAAATCCCTCCTGCCCTGGCAGCAACAACACAATCGAGCCAACCACTTGATGGTCCCCGTCTCCCTTTGGGGTCCCACTGACAAAACCATGTTTGCATGGCCTTTTGGAGAAATAAGAAGGTGAAGTTCAATTAAACTTCTGTGGGAATGATGTTCCATAGAGAAGGAGCCACCACTGAGAAGTCTCCTTTTCATAGTCCCGCCAGATGTATATAACTAATAGATGGGACCCGCAACATAGCAATAGCACTTAGACTTATATACTGCCTCACAGTGCTTTATAGCCCTCTCTAAGCTGTTTACAGAGTCAGAAT